GCTAACCTGTTCATTAGCAGGAATATACAATAGACAAGATGTCACCCATTGAGAATGATACAAAGGCATTTTTGCTTACAGCAGAGAAATGAGTTATTCACAGTAAGAACCATATAGATGTGGTATTCTTTGCCTAAAGAGGTTGTTTTATCAGATTCTATAGATACATTTGATAAAATTCTTGGATGCTTTTTTGCATAAACAGAATATTCAAGGATATAATTGATATGTAAACAGATTGTTAATCTAAGGAGAAATTATTGAATTATGGAGTCCCTTAACTCCCTTATTTTAGGAGAAATTATTGAATTATGGAGTCCCTTAACGCCCTTATTCTAGTAGACAGCCACTAGAGGTGGAGATAACCCTGCAAGGTAATTATTGCAGTTTATAAAAAACTGCAATAATTACACTTGCAGGGTTAAGAGTAGTGGGAGTTGGCACCCAGACCACTCCAATGGGCAGAAGTGGTCTGGGGGCCTGGAGTGTCCATTTAATGGTCAAGTCTTTTTAAATGTTTTTATTCAGTAAATAATGAATTGAGGTGCATTAAAAGCCAACATGCTAAATTAAAATATGCTAAATTGGTCAAGATATGACTATATGTTTGCAAAAAAACAAGAGAAAAATGCACACACTAAAAAAGTGGGAATACTTCCTGCAGGGTACTCCAAAAAGGGAAAGCCAATCCCTGAAGACATCAAATAGAAAAAAAAATATCCTGGCACACCTGAGGTTTCTTTTAAAAGGCAGTCTTTCTATTTGAAACATGGAAGTGGAGGCAACTTTTTGTCTCCTCTCTGAGACTTGATAAAGGCTCTGAGATGAGCCGGAACATTCTCTCCACATCCTTGTTTCAAATAAAAAGACTGCCTTTTAGAAGAAACCTCAGGTGTTCCTGGATATTTATATTTCCAAGTTATGACTATGTTAGAAGTGTTCCAATTAAATTAAATTATGTCCAATATTATCTAAATATATTTTACAATTTTTTTTTTTATTTTTTTTTTAAATGCAAACTGTTTATAATATTTAAGCCTAGTAAGGGTAAGTAAAACCATTTTTAGAGCACTGCTCATCTCAGCATTGTATGTTTGTCATAAATATACACTTACTATTTTGGTCATGGTTTCACTTTAATCTCCCTCACCATAAAAAAGGCTAGCGTCACAATTCCCCATCTATCTGTGGCAGCTAGGACTGTAAACCTTGGGACATTGTTAGACAACACATCATAGTGATGTCCCGAACGGTTCGCCATGGACTCATCATTGAGTAAACTTTGACCCTGTACCTCACAGTCAGTAGACACATTCCAGCCAATCAGCAGCAGACCCTCCCTCCCAGACCCTCCCACCTCCTGGACAGCTCACTAAGAATGCAGCTTCACAATGAATGTAAAATGGATGCTGTCCAGGAGGTGGGAGGGTCTGGGAGGGAGGGTCTACTGCTGATTAGATGGAATGTGTCTGCTGACTGTGAGGTACAGGGTCAAAGTTTACTCAATGATGAGTCCGTGGCGAACCGTTCGTGGCAAACCGTTCGCGAACCGTTCGTGGCAAACCGTTCGCGAACCGTTCGGCGAACCGTTCGGGACATCACTACAACACAAGTAAAAAGAAATTGATTCCACAAATCCTGCTTTTTCTGCTTAGGTGTTCAGACCTTTAAAATGTGCTTAGTCTGATATTAGTGTTACTGTTCATGGAATGGTATGACACACTAGATATCTAGCAAAATATAGTTATACCGAAATGTTGCTCTTCTCATTTTATATTGTGTCCAGCGTACTTTCAGCTTTTCATTGAAGCAATGTATTTCCAGGATGACATTTGTATGCCATTTTATAATAGGGCATGCAGACTGCTTAATGAGTTCCCATTATATGATAACCTTATACAGTTCCTTTTATGTGTAACAAAATAATGTATCAAAAAAGTATAGCGTTAACAGAAAAAAAAATCTTAAATGACCAATTATGTGTTATATTCCAATAGCAAATTTATTCTGTAGACAAAACAAATTAATTAGGTGCATCAGATTTTACTGCAAAACATAACTAAATAAATTCTGCTTTGCTCAATAAACAACACAGCAGATGTGATTATACAACTAAAAATGAAAAATACATATTCAATATTTCAGCTTTTTAGTGACTTTTTTGGAGGGGTGTGTGTGTGTGTGTGGGGGGGGGGGTCCTTCAATAATAATAAATTTTGAGACTAAGTCTTCAAAGCAACATGTTTACTTACCATTTGGTAAACACTTTGCTTCTAAGTATCTGCAACTAGTTTGCTCTCATTTAGTCGCCTGCCCTTCTGAGCCTGGAACATATTGATCATGCTCAGCTTCTTAAAGCAATATAGTCACATGACATATTTCTTGCAATATTCATGTCATTACAGTAGTTACTGTCACAGCTGAGCTCATTGTGTTTAAAGGTTATAGATGGCACAGCAAGTGGTTAATGTCCTCCATGATCCACAAGAGGAGCAATTATCCAAACACTGAAAAGTAAACGCCATACATAATTCCTGTTTTCAGTGGTCAGACTTTAAAATAAACTCAAAAGTCAATGTACCACTCTGTAGTGGTAGAAAGCATGTAACTAGAGTTGAGCGAACCCAAACTATAAAGTTCGGGTTCGTACCGAACATTAGGTTTTTTGGACCCCAGACCCGAACACGGACATATCACTGTATGTTCGGGTTGGAGTTCGGTGTTCGGCGATTTAATGGCGCGTTTTCAAAGGCTGCAGGCAGCCAATCAACAAGCGTTTGACTTGTGTGCTCTTAGAAGCCATCACAGCCATGCCTACTAATGGCATGGCTGTGATTGGCCAGTGCAGCATGTGACCCAGCTTCTATATATAAGCTGGAGTTGCGTAGTGCCGCACGCACATGCGGTCTTATTAGTGTAGGGAGAGGATGCTGCCACTGATAGAGACAGCGTAGGAAAGAATCCTACAAACATTAGTGGGATGGGGTGCACTTCATATCTGAGAGTCAAATAAAAGCTTCAAATACCGCGGTTACAACAGAGTTTTAAAAAGTAAATTTTTTTGTGTGCTAAATAGTACATTAGTGGGGTAGTACATTAGTGGTGTGCACTTCATAGCTGAGAGTCAAGTAGAAGCGTCAAATACTGCTGTCACAATGCAGTTTTAAAACTTAAAATTTTTTGGGTCCTAAACTGTTAAATAGTAATTTGGTGGAATGCACTTCATATCTGAGAGTCAAATTGAAGAGTCTAATAGTGTGCTTACTGCGCAGTTGTAAACATTCTTCTTTTCTGTGTGTTAATCTGCTAAATAGTACATTTGCGGCCTATTTGTGAGAGTCAAATAGAAGCATCAAATATTGCTGTCACATTGCATTTTTAAAACTTAAAATGTTTAGGGTGCTAAACTGCTAAATAGTATTTTAGTGAGGTGCACTTCATATCTGAGATTTAAATAGAAGCGTCTAATGGTGTGCTTACAGCGCACTTGTAAAAATTCTAATTTTCTGGGTGCTAATCTGCTAAATAATACATTTTGGGGCCTGCTCTTCATATCTACAAGTCATGCTACAACAAAATTAAACAAGTTTTAAAATATGTATGGGCCAACCAGTGGCTGTAAACAACAAAGTTTTACTGGTTACATTCATGACTACACACTCTAGTCAACAGGACCTTCATGTAGTTTTTTTTTTTAAATCATACAGCATCCTTTCATGTGCTTTTCAGATTTCTTATTGTGAATTACCAATTTTTGTGTAGCCTGATTTTTTTTAAAAAGAAAGTGAAAAATAAGTGTTATTGTGATCGCTTCATATACAGAAGCATTTATATACATGTGTAAAGACACAACTACAAAGTTAAAAACCAAACACCAAAACAACGTGCCAGACAATCTATCTGTGCATGGCTAGAGTGATACATTAAGTCTACATCTTAAAAATGCAATAACCCACGGAAGATGAGCGAGAATTTTTTTTGCAAATGGAACTTGGATTCGAATTTACTAGATCGGTCACTTGAAATATTGTTTCACACCTGCAACACTTGTTACACAGATCTAAGTGATAGAAAACAGCTAGATATTTTCTACACTAGAAACTACCAGATAACAAGCTGCTATATGTAAACCAGTGATCAATAGCTAAGAGGTACTTCAACAATATTGTAATTCTGGGGCAATACCCTCACAAGTCAAACTGAGAGGTCAGTTTATAGGGAAAACTGTTGCCTGGATACAATTCTAAAACAATTTCCATATGTCCTTTGCAGACTTTATATGCTGGAAAAACACAGGTGCCAACTGCTGTGGCTTTCTGCAGTGTGCATACCGGCAACGAGGGCAGGGTTGAGGAGTGGGTGGAAGATGATATGGAGGATGATGAGGTCCTAGACCCCACATAGAATCAAGGTCATGCAAGTGACGTGTGCAGTTTGGAGGAAGAGGCACTGGTCGCACATTGGCACCAGCACAGCATAAGAGGGAGCAGGGTGAAAAAACGGAGGGGGCGTCCCCTAGCGCTCGTCGGCATGTATTAGCTCGAGAATTACCAGTTATCCAAGTAATACATGTAGCGATCAAAGGATCCAGATTTAACGATCCATTCATAGTTTCACAGTGAGGTGGGCAGTCCGGTGACCAGGACCCAGACACTTTCTGTGCGGTGGTCGGACGACCGGGACCCAGTATGCCTGATGTTGAAGTTAGGAGTCACAGTGTGGAATGGATTAGCAGAGTCTGGTGCAGGGTAACCGCACGCCCAATGGTGTTGAGCACCAGCGTTTGTGTGGCCACATACCAGGACCATGATGCAGAGTACTTGATACCAGAAGCCATCACCAGACTGATCCGCAACTTGGAACAGGATGTGACATTCACTGTAGCGGCTGTGTGCGCTTTTGGCGTTGTCACCCTGCTGCTGCTCGCCTGTCTGCGCTGCAGCGTAACTTCGGCCTTCCCGCTCACCGCCTCATGAGACTGTGCGAACAGCAGGAGGCGATAGTGGAGTTTCAGCTGCAACACGCACGGGTCAGTGGCTTTGCACCAGACTTCCCTCCAATTGATCAGAGTTAAAGGATTTCAAGTGGACTCATTACAGGACCTCTAAAGAGTCCTGTATTGTTATTTGTCATCGGGAGTGGGTCATTTGCCCGCCTGCTGCCTTCCTTGCATGTGGTAGCCGTTTCTCAGGGTCCCTGTACGGAATGGAACCCTGATTCCCTGTTACCCGTGGTCACCATGGTAGGCGCAGAAACTGGCATCAAAAGTTGATATGGATGACATCCGCGTGCAAAGTCGCCGCCACGGGGATGTACGATTGGCCCGAGGTTCTCTAGAGTAAACAAAGTGCCTGCACAGTTATAATGTCAACTGCTACTCTGCGGAACAGAGTTGTCTTTTTTTATATGTCCCAATATTTTGGGGGCTACCCCAATTAAAAATATATATATATATATATATATATAAAAAACAGTGTTGGCTACCTCATCCTCCTCCTCCACCGCCACGGTCTCCTCAACCTATGGGTCACTTAGTATAAACTAGGTACACATTAGTAGAGGCTTGTGAAGGCATTTTCTCCATGCATCAGGAGTTGAGCATTTCTCCATGCATCAGGACTGCAAGAAATGCACCACAGGCCGCAAATGTTTCTTTTTTTTGTATGTCCCAATATTTTGTGGGCTACCACAATTAAAAAAAAAACATAAATAACAGTGTTGGCTACCTCATCCTCCTCCTCCTCACCGCCTCCTCAACCTATGGGTCACTTAGTATAAACTAGGTGCACATTAGCAGAGGCTTGTGAAGGCCTTTTCTCCATGCATCAGGAGTTGAGCTCAGTTTGAACAATGAAAGAGAATACCCTGCACTCCAACCCTCTCTCAAATTTATAATTCTGGTGACAGCCATGCTTTAGATTTTGCTTTATGTTCTTCCAAAGCTAAAATCAAAGATTCCATCTAGTGGTATTTTATGGCTCAGCTGTTTTTTATGTTATTTTAAGTGATTTCCCTATCCACATTTGTTTGCAATTCACTTGTCCTACTCTTACCCCCATTTTACTTCCTTTTGCAGCTCTCTAGCTCTTTCAGGAGATTTTTAGAGCCATTTTTGTGGCCAAAAGTTCAGGTTCCCATTGACTTCAATGGGGTTCGGGTTCGGGGTTAAGTTCGGGATCAAGTCCGAGCCCGAACCCGAACTTTTTTCAAAAGTTCGGCCGAACACGCCAGACCCGAACATCCAGGTAACTCTACATGTAACCTATACCCAAGTCTGTAAGCAGATCTCCTATCCGATGCTTGTGGAGTATTGTCAATATGTTTAAAGGGACACTATAGTTACCAGAACAACTACAGCTTATTGTATTTGTTCTGGTGGGTATAAATATTCCATTCAGCTTTTTTGCAGTAAACACTTGTTTCAGATAAAATGCAATGTTTACATTATAGCCTATGAATACCTCCACTGGCCACTCCTTGGATGGCTACTAGATGTGATTTCTGGGGCAGTGCTGCACAGTGTGTCTCCTAAAAATGCATTGATTCAATGCATCTCTATGAGGAGATGCTGATAGGCCAGGGCTGTGTTTGGCTTGTGCTGACTTTGCCCCTGATCTGCCTCCTTGACAATGTGAAAAACATTGTGATAAGCTTTAGTTCAACACTTCTGATGATATCAGCCAAGCAGGTCGATCAGGGGCAGAGCAGCAGATCGGGATACAAGTAAGATTTTACTATATTTAGGGGGGGAGGATAGCTAGGGGGGCTAGATTGTGTCTTTAACACTATAGTGTCAAGAATACATGTTTGTGTTCCTGACCCTATAGTGTTCTTTTAACATATGCCTATTACATGTATATTCAGATTTTCTCCTATTCTTTTAGACTTTTGTAGAAGATGCTTAATTAGGTAGGTTTAGACAATTTCTTAAATTAATATTGGGGGGATTTAAAAGAACAGGAAAATAAGTTTCATAAGAATGGGAATAGGCAGCAGGTGTGCAACTTAAAAGCAAATCATGTGATCTTCTATTCCCTATCCTCAAGTGTTAAACAAATATAGACCTTAATTTAATTTTTGGGGGTAAGGTTTTCAAATGATCACAATTTGTTATCATGATGTTTCAAATGTTTTATCTACAACAAATCCCAAAGACTTTAATGAAGGTTGTTGTAGATAAATCATTAGAAAAGTTTTTCTAACAGAGTGTGATCATCATCAACAGAATCATTGAATAGCTTCTGATATGATAATTGTTCAGGTTCTCCTTTATTAACACAAGATGAGCTAAAACCAGTTTGAAAACTAAGAGGGTACCCACCGAAGGGCAAGCTATTTGAGTTAATATTTATATTAATATTATTTTGTACCCTGTTTTAGTTTTTTGCTTCTCCTAAAAGAATAAACCAAATTTGGACCCCTTGCTCACTGTAGGTTTAGTAAGCATACCAGAGTCCTCCAAATTCTGATTACAAGAAATTAGGTAAAACAAAAAGTGAACTTTCAGTAAACAACATTGTGGTAAAGGATTACAGGGGGAAGGAACAATTAAACTGACGTGTTTTGTGCCCACCCCAGCACTTCCTTAGAGACCATATCAGATATACTTCACTGACAAGGCCTAACAAGACTGAAATAATTATCTGGAGTTGCTTTATCTCGTACAGAAAGTGTTAGCCTCCATTTTAAATATGGACCACTAATTTGGGTGGGATCAGTCTGATATGCAAATTCTTCAGGTTCTGTTTGTTATGGCACAATATGAGCTAAAACCAGCTTGAGAACTGAGCGGGGACTCACTCAAGGACAGGGCATTTGAGTTGATGTGCATTGTCAGTATTCTTTTACGCCCTGTTTTTATTCACATGAAAACCTTATCAAAATAACTAAATCAAGGCCACTGTTAAAGTCACTTTCATACAGGTAAGGTACTTATAATGAGGTAGACCAATCATATCAATATGATTCACCACTTGGGTTTTGGCTGAAGAATTACCCTAAATCCATTTTTGCTGTCAGAATCACTACTGCAGTACTGGTGTATATAGACACCGTCTACATAGTCTACAGTTGTGCTCAAAAGTTTGCATATCCTTGGGGAATTGGTAATAAGTATCATTTTTAAGAAAACATGAGTGAGCAGGCAAAACACATTTCTTTTATTTCTTATGGGATTCATATTTAACTGTAGGTTATAACAAAATGGCACAATCATAAAACAAAATATGGACACAAAGGATTTGTGTATTGCCCCTTCTAGCATCAATGAAAGTGTGCAGACTTTTTTAACAGTTGTCAACGAGGCCCTAATTCTTGCAACTGGTATAGCTGCCCATTCATCTAGGCAAAATGCCTCCTTGTCATGCAAAGTCTTTGGTCTTCTTGCATGAACAGCACTTTTGAGATCTCCCCAGAGTGGCTCGATGATATTAAGGTCAAGATACTGTGATGGCCACTCCAGAACCTTTGCCTTCTTCTACTGTAACCACTGGAGATTCAACTTGACCTTGTGCTTAGGGTCATACTGAAAGTCCAAGAGTCTCCCATGCGCAGCCTTCATGCAGATGAGTGAAAACGGTATGCCAGTATTTTCTGATAACATGCTGCATTGATCTTGCCATAAATATTCACAAGATTCACATGCCTTTAATGCTCACACATCCCCAAAACATCAGTAAGCCACCACCATTCTTCACAGTGGGGATGGTATTCTTTTCACTAAAGGCCATGTTGACCTCTCTCCAAACATAACACTTATGGTTTTGACCATAAAGCTCTATTTTGCTCTCATCACTTCAAATTACAGTGCACCAGAAGCTGTGAGGCATGTCAATGTGTTGTCGAGGATATTGTAACCAGGCTTTTTTTTGTTGCATTGGCACAGTAAAGGCTTTTTCTGGCAAATCGACCATGCAGGTCATTTTTGTTCAAGTATCATTGTATTGTGCTACTTGAAACAACCATACCGTCTTTTTCCAGAGAAGGCTGTATTTCTCGTGATGTTACCAAACAATTATTATGGCAGTTGTGGCTGGAATTTTTCTTGGTCTACCTGACCTTGGATTGGTATCAAGAGATCCCCCAAATTTTCCTCTTCTTAATAAGTAATTGAACAGTACTGACTGGCATTTTCAAGGCTTTGGATATCTTTTTATGTCCTTTCCATCTTTATAAAGTTCCATTACCTGTCTTTTAACAGTTCCTTTCTGCTCCCCATGGCTCAGTATCTTGCCTGCTCAGTGCATCTATGTGAGAACTAACAAATTCATTGACTATTTATACACCGACACTAATTGCAATTTAAAAAGCCACATGTTTGGGAATTTAACCTTTGATTGCCATTTTAATCAGTGTGTGTCACCTTGTGTGACAATAACAAAGCCAAACATTCAAGGGCATGTAAACTTTTGATCAGGGCTGTTTTCTGTTACCTTTATGATTTAAAAAGGAGCCAAACAACTATGTGATAAAAAAAATGGCTTCATATGATCACAATCCTTCAACAAAAAACTTTTTTTTTGATGATCAGTTATTTTTTCAAACTCAATTCCAAAATTTCACAATTTCTGCCAGGGTATGCAAACTTTTGAGCACAACTGTAGATCTGCCTATCAAACCATCTAAGGCAGGGGTGGGAAAACATCAGCCCTCCAGATGTTTTGGACTACATCTCCCACAATGCTCTTACAGTCATAATGCTGACAAAGCATCAATGAAGATGTAGTCCAAAACATCTGGAGGGCCAAAGTTTCCCCACCCCTGATCTAAGGGATCTGTCTGGAAGGTTTTTCTAGTTCGCTAGAAGTCTGTCAGGTAAAAAGTTTGTGACTGATAAAATCAAACTTAATTCATCTAGTACAGGGGTAGGCAACCTTCAACACTCCAGATGTTTTGGACATAATTTCTCATAATGTGCTTATAACTATATTGCTGGAAAAGCATCATGGGAGATGTAGTCCATAACACATAAAGTGCTGAAGGTTGCCTACCCTTCATCTAACCTAATGCGGGGAACTTTGCTGTTTCTTGAAGGACTGTAAGTGATATCCATCTTGTCACTAGCATACTGTCATCTGCATAATTTCAATATTTTATTCTTAATGTCTGCATTCATTACTGCAAACATGTTGTATTTAGCAGCTAGATGATTTTATCAGTGCAATTTGTACCCTTGTTATGCAGAAAAAAATAGACATAACATCTTGAAAAAAATAGAATAAATCTAGATTTTTAACAACTCTACATGAGGTTAAACTTTTTGATGTATGGCCAAAGTAAGTTTAAATATTCATACCTGTACTAAACATAGATGACATTGAGCTAAAGGTCATCAATAAGAAAAGACGATAACAAAATACTAAATTGTTGTTTTCAGCATGATATCCCCTTAGAACAATATCTCACTTGATTGGATTTGCTACATGCTGAAAATATTTGATTGATTCATTTGGACATTTGGTAGTTGCTGAGTCTTACTTTTTACTTATCAATGTCAACTGCCAGACCATCAAAGCAAAACCATT